AAAAAAAAGAACCTGTTTTATGAAGTTTTGTTTTTACATTTATTCAGTGTTGAGTTCTCCTTAGAGAAAATGGCAGAGAATTTTATTAGAGAATCCATTGGTACATAATTAATATACTCAAAAATGGAAGAGTTTCTGGACTCTGTTTTCTATAATGACCATCTTTTCTTCTCTCCTTTTTACCACTTAGATGTGTTTAGTGGTTTATACTCTGAAGTACCCTGAAGTAGATTGACTTTTGCAGGCTAGGGAGATAAATATAATAAAATGATAAGCTGTCGATGTATACAGCTTTTTTGTTAATCCTCTTTCATTTTGATTTAACAGGTATTACAAAGTATCTGTTCCCCTGAGATTTTGCAATTAATGAAATCTTCCAATTTTCAGGGTTGTTGTTCCATCTTTGGGTTTGTGGATCCTGTGTGTTTTCTCAAGTGTATTGTGTTTGGGGTAGAAAAGTGGAGATAGTACTTCTGAAGTCTGTTGGTAATTTTAGGCAAGTCACTGAATGTCCCTGCTCCTGTTCATCTGCCAGGTGAGGAGGGCAAAAATTGTTCCTTCCACTTTGCAAGACCGTGAGAGAGGAAAGTCACATTGCTAGAAAATTCTTTAAGAAATTGAAAACTATCTTTTTACATGTGTAAAGGTTTTTACGGCCCTGATCAATTTTATTTTTTATTTCGTGTGTATGACTCGTCACTGTTTTGTCAGCATTACTTTGTTTTGGAAAAAAAAAAAAATCACACTAGTTCTATCTATCTCTCTTATCTATCTATGGCCTCCATCTGGGGAAAAATAGCTATTGGCATAAAGCATGTGGAGTTATGCAGAAGAAAAAAAAAACACACAACTACTTTTCTTTTCCCTAGGGACTGTTTGTTCTTGCTTAATTTTCAAAGTTAATATTTCTCTAAAATAATTCCAATTTAAGGAACAATATTGAATTTCTTTCTCTTAAATGCTAAATACCCAGGGCGCCTGGGTGGCTCAGTGGATTAGGCCTCTGCTTTCCGCTCAGGTCATGATCTCGGGGTCCTGGGATCGAGCCCCACATCGGGCTCTCTGCTCAGCAGGGAGCCTGCTTTCTCCTCTCTCTCTGCTTGACTCTGCCTGCTTGTGATCTCTCTCTGTGTCAAATAAATAAATAAAATCTTAAAAAAAAAAAAAGCTAAATACCCTATGCAAGGTCAGTTGATACAATGGGCAATGTTTTGAAGGTTATAAATTTTGGCCAGTTATAAATAGTGTCCCAGTTTCTTATGTAGAAGCCAAATTTAAAAGTTTAAAATGGTAGCCTTAGTGTACACTGATAGGAAAGTGATTAAATTGTAGGTATGTATATTCATTCAGTAAGAATGTGTATAACCATTAAATAGTACTTGTGAATGTCACCTAATATTAAGTAGCAATATGGAAAATACTTAAGAATAGAAAAAGCAGGATTAAAAAATACTTTACTGGGAAGAATTACCTTTATTTTCGTATTAAAGCATCAGTACCTAATAATGCTACTTTTTTGGGGGGAGGGCAGAGAGAGACAGCGGGAGAGGGAACACAAGCAGGGGAAGCAGGAGAGGGAGAAGCCGGCTTCCCACTGAGTAGGGAGACCAATGCAGGCCTCGATTCCAGGACCCTGGGACCATGACCCAAGCCAAAGGCAGACACTCAACCACTGAGCCACCCAGCACCCCAGTAATTCTGCTTTTTAAATTTATCAGAAATGCCACTTCTGGGGTTGCCTGGGTGGCTCAGTGGGTTAAAGCCTCTGCCGTTGTCTCAGGTCATGATCCCAGGGTCCTGGGATGGAGCCCCACATCGGGCTCTCTCCTCAGCAGGGAGCCTGCTTTCCTTCCTCTCTCTCTGCCTGCCACTCTGCCTACTTGTGATCTCTGTCTGTCAAATAAATTAAAAAAAAAAAAAAAGAAAAAAGAAATGCCACTTCTGGCTCCATGCCATAAACTTTGCAGAGAATGGCTTTCTTACACCTCATGAACTTCATGGTGCAGTGTTTTCTGTAACTCAGATTAATGTTGATAAATGTTTAAGATTTTGTCTATTTAAGTAGATTTTGAATTCTCATAAATGTACAACACATATCTTACACAGATTCTGACACATAATCTTCAGTTTCCTAAATGTTTTCAAATACGAATACGGGTGTAATCATTACGCTGCTCACTTAAAAATTAAGGAATTTTCTTGTTTACTTCTCTTAGAAAGTATTTTATTTTGTTAACTGGACAATAAGCTCTCTTACTGACCACTCCATTGCTCATAATAGTATTTCTGGTTTTAAAATTATTTTCTCTAAATTACCTTTGTCATATACAGAAAACTGTAGCTTCAGGGAGAAAAAATGGTGTTGTTGTTTTTTTTTTTTTTTTTTTTTTTTGTAAAATTAGGTATTTTGGAAATCTTTTCTTTTTTAAGTATTCATTAATTTATTTAAGTAATCTCTTCACCCAACATGGGGATTGAACTCATGACCCTGAGATCAAGAGTTGCATGCTCTTCCAACTGAGCCAACCAGACACACTTAATTTTTTTTTTAGATTTTATTTATTTATTTGACAGAGATCACAAGTAGGCAGAAAGGCAGGCAGAGAGAGAGGAGGAAGCAGGCTTCCTGTTGAGCAGAGAGTCCGATGTGGGGCTCTATCCCAGGACCCTGGGATCATGACCTGAGACGAAGGCAGAGGCTTTAATCCACTGAGCCACCCAGGCGCCCCAACACTTCTTAATTTTTAAACCTACATTTTAAACAGAAGATCTTAAATGATCTGCTGTGTGGCCTAATATGAAGGCAGAAGTAACTCTTAAAAAATATTTATTACAAAAATAATTTTTTAACAAGTACACAACCAAAATCAGAAACAGACCTATAAATACCGAGAACAAACTGATAGTTGCCAGGGGGAAGGTGGTTGAGGGAAGGGCAGTGGGAGATACAGGCTTCCAGTCATGGAATGAATTAATCATAGGGATGAAAGGGACAGCATAGGGAATATAGTCAATGGTATTATAACAATATTGTATGGTGACAGTGGTAGCTACACTTAACAGTAAGCAAAGCATACTGTTTAGAGTTGTCATATCACTATATTATACACCTAAAACATAACATTGTGTGTCAACCATACTCAATTAATAATAATAAAGAAAAGTAGTAATAATAATTTTCTAAATAGCCAGACCTTACCAATTATATGAAGTAAATTTTTTTCTTTTCATTCCCCAGAAAAGGCTGCCACTGTTTGTATTCTGGTTTGTATATGTTTTTCACACATATATAAACACATGTGTGTGTATTTTTTAAATTCAAAGCAAATCGTATTCTATATATACATACTCTTCTGAATTGCTCTTTTCAGTTACTCTATTATGGATTTCTGTCTGTGTATACATATAGAGATGCTTCATTTTTGTTGATAGTTATGTACGTTATTCCAGTAAATTAATATACTATAATTTAACCAGTTTCTTGATAGGGAAAAGTAGGTTTTTACAGTTTTGTTTATTATGTGTTTTAAAGAACTAAAGTGTCTTTTTATCATGTATTTGGGTGGAGTTTTGCTCACCATAGGTGAATCTGCTCAAAGTAGAGGATGAAGATCGAGAGTTACTACTTATTTGAAATTGCAGCTAATATTTTGGAAGAAATTTACTATGTTTCTTTTTTTTTTTTAAGGGAGGGAGGGAAGGAGAGTGGGAGGACAAACAAGCGGGGAGAAGCATCAAAGAAAGGGAGAAGCAGACTCTCTGCTGAGCAGGAGCCTGATGTGGGGCTCCATCCCAGGACCCTGAGATCATGACCTGAGCTGAAAGCAGATACTTAACCAACTGAGCCGCCTAGGCACCCCAAAATTTACTTTTTCTACTTTATGCCAGGCACATGGTAGGCATTGAGCACTGATGTGAGTAAGACAACTGTTGCTCTCAAGCACAAACTTTAGGAATGGCTCATTTCTGTCAGCATAAAAATTATGCCATTCCTCCCTAGAGAGGGTAGTTACTAATTCCTTGGACAAAATCCTAATCATTTTGTGTCCGTCAGAGCTGTTGGCGTGCCTGCGTGGCTCAGTTGGTTAAGCGTCCAATTCTTGATTTCTGCTCAGGTCATGATCTCAGGGTCATGAAATCAAGACCCACTCGGACTCCATGCTGGGTTTGAAACATGCTTAGGATTCTCTGGCTCTTCCCCCTGTCCCTTCCCACACCACTCCTCACACTCTACCCCTCCCCAAAATAAAAATAATAAAAACTTAAGAAAAAAAATAAAACCTGTTCCTTAATAGGCACATCTCCTATTTCCCAAGAGCTGTGACAAATAAAAACCATTGTTTAATGACTTTTCATAGTTTAATAGGTAATTGTGAATATATTCTGGTAGTCAGGTGATACTTATTTTGAAAATGGGTCACATTTCTGATAAAATCAATCGTTCAGCAAAGACCTATTGAGCATCTGTATGTGCTATGGGTTGAACTAGTCACTGGGGGTACAAAGATGATAGTCTCTGCTTTTATACGACCTACTTTGAAAAAGAGAAAGAAGAGAATATTTTAGATCCATGGTTGACTGAGTCTTTAACAAATGCTCATCTAGTGGATGTTCTGTTGATTATTTTTAGATGCCACAATTAATTAACAGCAATCAGTGAAACATTATCTCCCCTCAAACAAACCAGCTTCCAAACCTAACTGCTTAAGTTTCCTCTTCTCCCTAATATGTTATACAAGTATACATTATACAGACACAAGTTTTGAGGTATCTGAAATTTAAATTTTAAATTTTCAGTGAAAAACTTTACTTTGTTCTACAGGCAGATTTCCAAGAAGTTTCTTCTCATTATCCCATTTAGTATCTGTCATGTTTTGAAATTAAGGCTGTGTACCAAGTATGAGTCATTATGAGGTTTCCTTTATTTGGCTTTTTCCTTTGAGGCATTAAATAATGTTAAGGTAATGTCAATAATTTTTTTTTCCTCCCCACCCCCTCAGCCGGTCCATATGGAATATTTGCTGGTAGGGATGCCTCCAGAGGACTAGCGACATTTTGCCTAGATAAAGATGCACTTAAAGATGAGTATGATGATCTCTCAGACTTGAATGCTGTACAAATGGAGAGTGTTCGAGAATGGGAAATGCAATTTAAAGGTACCTTCATTTTGTCGGGTTCTATGAAAAAAAAAGTGTATATTATTTCACATTCCTTAAGAGTCTAAGGATATCTGTTTTCATCGCCATCATTATTTGATGATAAAAAGCTAAATATGAAAATGATTGTTACATATTATTATTTAAAAATCCATATTTAAAAGTTGATTTGTTACAAACTATAACAAAAACTGTGATACCTTTAGTCTTATAAGACTTTTCAATTAAGATAAAGTATTTTTAAATAATAAGCTTCTATTTAAAACTGAATTTTATTTTGGATATTGATACTATAATTTATTCCAAAATGATTTTATTGATCTTACTCACAAACCATAATGAAAAAATATCTTTCCCCTTTATTATGCCCTTGAGGCATCCATTATTACCACGTATGTGACAATCCAGATAGCTATTTACGTGACCTATGCATACCTTGGAAATACTTCTTCTGGCTTCTTGGCATTTGAACCAGTCCTACTGTAGGAAGCAGTCCTCCTATCTTACCCTCCTGGGTTGTCGGTTAATTCACTTAACCTAGGTTCAAATTCCCGACCAAGAAATAAGTAAATATGGATCACCTTGGACACCATGGTGTTCTAAATTAATACCTGACAACATAAAACAAGCAATATTAACAGAGATGTAAGAAAAGAGTTTAATAAGAGAAAGAATAATGCTATGACTGGAGCCACACACTAGCTCTTAAAGAACACAGGATAATAAGTAACAAATGACTTTGCTTTTCATTTGGTTTATTTTTCTGGAAAGTACTGACCTGTGTCACATTTTCTCCCTGAGAATATTTTCTAGTTGGATCTACTTACCATGATCTCTTAGTGATTCTGATGAAATGTCTTTGGTTAAGAACTGGTATATATGGAGCACTCTCCTGCAAAGCATAGTCCCCAAGCTTTGTAAATTCCTTATTCCCATTTTCTTTTGTTCAAGCCTTACATGAATGCAAAGATCAGCCAAGGTGAGCGATAGGAACAACTTAGCCAATTGTATATAATTCTAAAAGAGGCAAACACCTTCCCCATTGTGTGATGGAATAGAGCAACAAATTTGATCACTACTGATTTTCTTTTGATGTATTTTTCAGAAAAATACGATTATGTAGGCAGACTCCTAAAACCAGGGGAAGAACCATCAGAATATACAGATGAAGAAGATACCAAGGATCACAATAAACAGGATTGAACTTTGTAAACAACCAAAGTCAGGGGCCTTCAGAACTGCAATTCTTATTACTCCCTTTCACAGAATGTCCGGCGTCTTTGGGTTTGGTTCACCTGCTGCAAAAAACATTCAACAGATTCTATACAAGCTAAATGAGTCTCACTATGAAGATTTGAATACTAGACATTATTTATGCTGCCAAACTCATTTGTTGCAGTTGTTCGTAATGTCTGGTGGGGCGTCATCATCCTGAAAAGGAGGAAACGAACTTTTTTTTAAAGAGCAAGAAAGTTACAAGGTTACTCCTTCCTCCCTTCCTTCCTTCCTTCCTTTTTCTTTCCTTCCTTCTTCCTCCCTCCCTCCCTCCCTCATTCCCTCCCAACCTTCTTTTTTTTTTTTTTTTTTTTTTTTAAATCAAAGACAACCAGATATGTATTTGCTACTTAAATGTACAAATCTCCTCAAAAACAGCAAGGGATTCATGTGCTGTGTTCTTGTTTAAGCTTTGAGGGAAGAGACCTGGGCAGGAGAGGTTGGGGGTGCACATCAATTTGAGTAGTTTAGGTTACTGAAACATTAAAATGTGAATTCCCAAACTTCTCTTTTGGGTTTTGTCAGGGAAAAGAAAAAAACCTTTATTTCTAAGGAATTAGGAAAAGGGATTTCAAGTGGATCTAAGTCAAAGCTAATTCCCCAGTAGTAATATCATTTGCAACTAGTGTTTATCCCTTCCCTTCCCCTAGATCAAATCAATATTAATTGTGCCTTATTTCACTTACATAGACTTGAATTATTTTAGGGAAAGCCCCTATGTGAATTCAGAAGTCACTACAAGCAGCATTGAGACTGAAGTTGGGATATTCTGTTGACTGCAAAACCTTGATGTCATTCTGTGTATATAGAATGTAAAAGGAATATTCAGTGTTACTGCCACATATGTTAATATACACAAACTTAATTAGCATTGTAATGGCCAAATGCATTCCCTCCTGCTTTTTCTCTTTAAAAAAAAAAAAAATTGAAAAACAGATCAACTCTGTCCCCCAACAGCTGCCTAATTTTAGGAGTCTGACCCTCACATCTCATTGGTGTGGGTGCATGGGGCGTAGTATGGATGTTGTATGGGTGTGTCTGAATGTGTGTGAGAGCGCTTTGAAAGGGACTCTGCAGATACTGTAAATATCAGTACCGTTTTAATAAAGCATGTACAATAAACCAAAATAAGCTTGAGTTGGACTTTATATACAAAATGTAAGCCAGTGCATTATGATACCATAGTCAGGATTGTGCATTTGATTCAAGATAAGGAAAAATCTTGGAAATGAAAAGCAGGCACTGGTTAAACAAGTCGTACACATTGTACCACATTCACTGTAACTTTAGGAAGAAATTCCACTTTGTGGAACATTCTCAAGAGAACTGAGATTATTCAGGTAAGAATTGATAAATAAAAATGTACATATTTTTACTTTATATTTTGATGCCAACTGATTATACTAGAAGTAATAGCACCAGGTGGTAGTTACTGAACACAAAATAATAAAGGATATTCTACTGATAGGTACTGAATCCTTCTATTATTCATTTATAAAAACCCTATGTATGTCAGGTACTTGATTTCATCAGAACTACTTAGGTTCTTGGTTGGGGACAAGTTACACCGGAAACGATAATTTTATTTAACAAGTCACCAGTTAAAGAAAAGACTTACTCTTGAGCATAATATATGCAGAAGCCATCAGAGAAAGGGGAAGTTTAAACTGCAATAATAAGCTAAAGTATGTAAAATACTACATTCTATTATCTTTGGTCTTGGGATGTTTTGTAGAAAATGATGAACTTCAGCCAAATCTTTGCTGAAGACTGGTTGTAAAGACTGAAGGGTGTTGGTAAATGCTTTGTGTGTTTTTATGTAAAATATTTTCTAAACAAATTTGTTAAAGTACATATCCTCTGTAGTAAACATATAAATATATATATATATATATATATATATATATATGAATCATTTGAGCCTAAAGTTCAGAAGTAAATCTACACTTGTGAATAGAGAAACCCTAAATATCCATGCAGTAAAAATTATGCAGTCTGTTAAGAAAATTGAGTAATTTTGTGTTTTGGACTTGAAATAAACCGTGTTCTACAGACAATTCCTCAATTTTAATTGAGTGTTTCTCATTCTCAGGTAGTTTGCTGGGTAGGCTTGGAGTAAGGGGATGGGAGCTGTGGTGGAATTTTCCTGATTTCCTCCTTAGCCTCTGTTTCCCTGACTTTCCTAATTAGAACCACTTGAAGTGCTTTAAATATAAATCCTTGGTCCCTAGTCCAAACCTACCACACACTAAGCCAAGAATTAGAAGAGAATGGCTTTCAGACTTTATTTGTGATAAGTGCCATGGTAATTCTTGTGGTCAGGCACATTTGAGAAACCGTTCTAATCTTTTCAAGTTATATTGTCTATCTTTGTCATCCACTTGAAATGGAACTTACTCTTGGGTAATTTTGGTCTAATTTCCTGTATTTGGTTTCATATCATTCCCTAAACTCCTCAGAGTTAGTTTTATCTGGAGATTGCACATAAAAAATTTTAATTTGATTTTTTAAAACAATTTCTTTACTCAGATTTTTATCTTTTGATACCCTCTCAAAGTTGACATGTTTTTCAAATCTATACGGTTTGTACTAGTCTCTTTCTCTCCATTAAGAAATGGGCATGTTCAGGGGCACCTGGGTGGCTCAGTGGGTTAAAGCCTCTGCCTTCGGCTCAGGTCATGATCCCAGCATCCTGGGATCGAGTCCCGCATCGGGCTCTCTGCTCAGCGGGGAGCCTGCTTCCTCCTCTCTCTGCCTGCTTCTCTGCCTACTTGTGATCTCTGTCAAATAAATTTAAAAAAAAAAAAGAAATGGGCATGTTCAAATACAGATCAAGTTTTTAAAAAACTTGACTGTGATATGAAGGCTTAATATTTTCCTGACAGTAATCAGTAATTCTACCTGCCTTTTTTTGAAATCTGTAGAATCCAACACTATACTTACCTCTATAATCTGGAAAGCTAAAGTTTATATATTGAACTAGGACTGAAAAAAATTGTTTTCTAGAAAACTGACCAGACTCCTTATCTGATTATTCCATTTACTTATATTAGTAACTGGGAATGCAGCAAACTGCTAGAAATGTATGCCATTGGCATGTTAACATAGTGTAAAACCTTACAGAGTTTTTATGGATCAGAATAAGCTGGTACTAAATATATAAATACATATATAAAGTTTACAAGTTGCTTTGAGCATAATGGAAATGAGTCATCAAATATTATCATGATGGTTCTTTTCCTCTGAATTAAAAGCAAATACTTGGGGTGCCCTGGGTGGCTCTGTCGGTTAAGCATCCAACTCGATTTCAGTTATGGGATCGAGAGCCCCATTGGGCTCCGTGGTTGGTGGGGCATTTGCTTTCTCTCTCTCTGCCTCCAGATCACCTCCCGCAAGCTCGCATGTGATAGCATGTGCTCTCTCAAATACATACTTTTTTAAAGTACCAAATGTTCAAAGATAGCTTTTGAGTATGTGTGTCCCACTAAAGTCAGCTCTCAATTTGGTAGATTCTGATAACATTATGACCTATTTGTTGTGGCAAGAAAGTTCAAATAAAGGCCATCCAACTTTACTGTTTTTAGGCAAGAATCATCATTCCCAGGCAATATTAGAAAAGGCTGTATCCCCTCTTCATCAATTCCCACAGCACTATCTGTTACATAAAACAACTTGTATCTTGCAGAATATGCCCCTAGCGACTTAACCCGCTCCATTCTTCAGTCTGAATTATACTGTCCTCCACACCTTCCCAAATTAACTGCCTTTCTAGATCATTTGTTCCATCTTAGAGATGAAGGCTCCAACTCAACTCAATGCCCTAGAATGAATGAAGGATTCCCCCATTCCATGCCTCCATAATATCATACGTACCTTTGTTTCAGTGATTTACTATTGTGTTATAATCATCTGTCTCCCCTGATGAGCCAGGGACCAGAACGTACTCCTATTTGAGGCCCAGTTTTTTCCCAAACTTAGTACAGTGCTGGACACACAATATTTGCTCAAAATGTTTTTTGTTAAAGAAATTTACAAAATGAGAGAGTAGACAGACTAACAGTTTTAAAATGGGGGCTCCAAGGAAGCATTTTAAAGGCTCAGAAGAGAGCCTAGGAACTGCATGAGAGCAGCACCTCCACTTGGCTTTGCCTCCTGGGCTTGCAAGTAGGAATTTACAGTCTGTCCTACAGAAAAAATGTTCAGAAACCACTGGTATAGATGATGTTTAGTACCCTTTCAGTTTGTGAATATATCTCAAAGGCAGAACTATGCAATCAAAAACATCTAGCAATACTTACTCTATGGCTGCAAAATACAGATTTATCTTCATGGCACAAGTAGATGAAGGCGCAAGCCTGCAGTGCAACCCTGACCTATCTAATGTGCCTATCTAATTAAAAGTGTTTTGCACCAGCTGCAGTGTACAGGCTGCATCAAACGGGTGACCAAAGAAGAAACAGAGAAAAGGAGAGGACTTCCATTTTCCCCCCTTATAACTAAAAACATTCATCAGTGCCTTTAAAATCCCACCCAAGGAGTCCTTTGCCCCCTCCGCCGTGGACCCTCCAACCCCCACCTGTATCCCCACTACTCCCATCACAGAGGTACTCATCGCAGTTGCTAGTCTATTCCAGTGGTAATTTAGAAAAAGACAAGTTGAATTGATCTTGCCCAAAATAAACTGCGATGTAATAAAAATGTAATGAAAACAGTCCAACGTGCTGCACTTGCCTAGGAAGAAATGCCGTATGTGTAGAGGAAGACCTTTGCCCTTAAAACCTGTGCCAACAGTGAAAAGGGAGACAAAAGCAAGATAAGATAGGAATAAATCACCTTTCTTATGTAAGAAATGCAGGAGCAAGCATTTTAATTCCTTCTGTGTTTCAGCTGTATCTGGTGGAATGAGTTTAGGCCTCGAAGGTCTGCTGCTTTCTGGTGACCTTGAGCAAATTTCTGAACTTGTCTGAGCCTACTTTTCCTCATTTATAAAAGGAACCAGTAACGCCTACCTTAAAGGTAAGAAATAAAGGCCACCACTGACCGCACGACATGCACTACACATTTCCCTTCTTCCTCTGCTTTGCAGTGGTAGAAAGCCATTTGAAGTATCTTTTTAGGTGGTATATAATTTTCTTTAAAGTGAAAATATGAATAACCTTTTGTTAATTAAACCTATAGTCCTAAATCAGAAAAATGTTTACTAGTTTACTAGTATGTTTACTACTATCTATTGGTAACAAAATACTCTCTTTAGTAATTTAAACTTGTGAGATGGAGGTTATCCTGAAATCATTTGTGTAAATTAATCTGTAGGTGAGCTGTAAGAGACAGAACTAAGTGATTATAGTAAGTTGAAAACCCCTCATTGCTGACTATCTTCACTGGAGAACAGAGAGCACGTCATGCATAAGTTAACTCTCTTTAGGAGCAAAATTGCAAATGCTCGATTGCAATGAGGTTACCAGTGTATTTGCTGTTTAGCTTCACAAATTTGTGTGCATTTTTCAGTTAGCCTTATCTCAACTGCTACGCAATAACTCAGGATCATCTCATGACTCAACTTGTGTTAAGCAAAACTAGTGATTGGAATGGCTTTAATATATTGCAAATGTACTGTCCAAAGATTTTCCTCAAATGACCGAGTCTCCTAAAGTAAATTCAAACCTCAGTCATCCTAAATGAAAAAAATCACAAGACCCACATTCTCTCTAACATATATATTCTTGAGCTGTCAGAATTTATTCATAATGGCTATGTGTCAATTTGAGGAGTCTATGGTGTCTGTTTGGTGAAACACTAGTCTAGATGTTGCAGTGAAGGTATTTGTGTGATTAATATCTATAGTCAGTTGACTTTCAGTAAATAAGTAAAATCTTTTAAAAACGGGGGTGGGGGGGGACTGGGTGGCTCATTCAGTTAAGCATCTGCCTTCAGCTCAGGTCATTATCCCAGGATCCTGAGATGGAGCCCCCACATTGGGCTCCTTGCTCAGCGGGAAGGCCTGCTTCTCCCTCTCCCTTGGCCTGCCACTCTGCTTTCTGCTTGCTTGTGCATTCTCTCTCTCTCTTTCTCTCTCTCTCTCTCTCTCTCTCTATATATATATATATATATATATATATATAAAATAA